GATCACAGCGTCCAGGCAAATCCCGTTCAAGCATATGCCTTGAGTTGCACATAGCTCCAACGATCCAACACACACACACACACACACACACACACACACACACTGTATTGTATTATTGTTTGTAATGTTCAGATGTTGTTGTTTAATATTCATGAGAATATTTGTCATTGTTCAAATGATAATAAACATTTGCATAAAGCATATTTGTCCACTCATATGTTGATAAGAGTATTAAAAACTTGAAAAATATTCCTCTAAGGAACATTTAGAAAAGATAAAAAATGTGCGATTAATCGCGATTAACTATGGACAATCATGCGATTAAATATTTTAATCGAGTGATAGCCCTAATATATATATTTTTTATATATTTTTATATACATTTGAATAACTTTGAATCAACACAAAATACTTGCGTTGATTGGACATAAATTGTTTGTGTTGATTTAAAACAATTCTATAGGTTGCTGCCAAAGCAAACTATTTGTGTGCAACCAATGTCCACAATTGAATTGAGTAAATCCAATGTGTTCTTTTTTTCAGAGAAGTGTTTTTTTTTTTTGCATTTTTCATTAATTGAATTATAAAATACTCATTTAAACTCTCCACACGGGCTGCCAGACAGCTCAGTGGTTAGAGCTGGTGGCCCATATGCAGTGTCTGCTGCCAAGAAAGCAGGTTTGAGTTGACTCCAAACATTTCAGGCAATATCCTCCCGTTTATCTCCCCTTTTCAAATATGCCTGTCCAATAAAGGCAATCGATGGCCCAAAACATATATTCAAAAAATAAATAAAAACTCTCCACACAGGAGAATTTGTACTATCTAATATATTAATTGACACATATTTCACTTACGAAAGTACAAAGAAACAAGTAGGGAAGCAGTCTCATTAGCAGATTGTTGGAAGCAGATAATTGTGTTATTAAGCCAGAGACCCCAAAAACAGCCCTGGATCTCTGTCCAGCATTGCTGTACATAAAGAACTGGGACTGAATGTTAGTAAGTATTGAGTGCTTACCAGTGGCGGCGCTAGGGGGTGGCTACTTGGGCTCAAGCCCCGAATGTTTTCTGAAAAAAATGTTTTGTCTTTTTTGTTGAAAATGTCTCGGGAGTAATGTGCAGTACCGGAGTCCACCAGAAAGGCATTAGCCTGCATTCTGCGTAGCCTTCCCTGCCCTGAAGAAGAAGTGATCCTTCCTCGTGCCTGACAAGTTTTAAGCTAATAGCCTATAAAGTTATGGATATTAGAAAGCCACATGCTGCAGCAGCAGCAGTATCAGCAGCTGACAACAATGTCATCACCAGCAGTGAAGAAATGGATGATGTTTCAGGTTTGTGAATCTAATTGTGATATCTGCACTCTGGCTGACTAAGAAGTGCAAAAGAGTGATGTAACGTTAATGTTATAGCTAGTAAACATGGAGTAACCACACTAAGTATACCCTTATATGTTAGTATGTATACAGAACATGACTACAAATTATCCTAAGATGTAACGCTAACCCTTCATACCTCAGTCTACTTTTAAGGCACTAAAATAACGTATTCCAATTTGTATTTTGTTTTCGCGCATGGAATTATACCGGCTCTCGTTTCAGTACACATAACAACGGAACCATAGCAACGGAACTGACCGGCAACCCTCTGAATCAGACTCCGATTGGCTGTGACTGCATCCACTCAGAAACGTGACTCTTACACAAACGACTATTTGAGTGAGTTAAGGCATTAGTTTGCTTCATTAAAGGGTGTTAATGATTAAGTGTTCTCCAGTGCCTTTTGTCTGCTTTAAGTTATTACGGTAGGGTTAATGTTGCTCTCAAAGTTCACCAGATTGATGCTTTTAACTTCAATATTTAAAATCAAATCTTCCCGGGGGAGCATGCCCCCGGACCCCCCTAGAGGAAGCGACGACCCACCTAAAGGATGTTCGGTCCACCCCCCACTTGTAAAAAAATAGCACTTCTTACAGTCCACAGACAGTAGGGGACATCGAATGAAATGGAAACTGTAAACTGCCTCAGGTTGTGAATGTTTGACTCTCTGTTTGTGTGTTTGCTAATCCCGCAGTAACAGCCTTGCAACATGTTCAAGTGTTTCCCCACCTTTTTTCTCAGTGCATGCTGGATTGGCAGAATGTAGTCAAGTTTGTGATATCTAACCCCAACAAGCATTTACACACATGAATTTGCACAATTATACATCTTTTTTAGAAACTTGTTTTTTGAGGAAATATAATTTCATCTGGAATAATGTCATTTTTTCAGTGCTTTTCAGACTATGAATAAAGTCATTTACCAATCACTGTGATACTGTTTACCACAGGGAAGTCAAATCCACTCTTTGCTAATAGGCCAAATATATTCAAACCTTTTATTGTTGCAACTGTCACATATTTGCATTGCTGCGTGTAATAATAGTTTTGATGCAAAATATTTGCTAATATTAACCTTATTTTGTCATTTATTGGTCAAGGCCCTGTGTAAAGGCTGTCAACAAAACATAAACCTTGTCTTTATCTCTTAGATACCACTGTACAAGCTTGTTGACATTCGCCTCTTAGTTCAAGTGTCCCTGGGGGGGTTGGATGTGGAAGACCTTTGGGTAGCATGGGAACAGCCATGCTCAGTCTGGGAAAGGAAGCAGGCTTTCCATTGCACAATCCAATTAGTTTCGAGTTGCACAAATAGAAAAAACTGGATCAGATTTACACAGAGGCTTTTTCTGTGACCAGTTGTAGATGTTTAGGTTGGCTGGAAAACCATTTGATGCATCCTCAGTACAGGTTCTAATCGAGGCTTTTACCAGGGATCCATAAGAAGAATTCTGCTTAGAACAGCATCATAAAAGCTGGGGTATGTGCTTATTGAGCTTTTTATCTTAAAATGTTTGGCTTTTAATATTTTGGAACCCCCTTTTTATGTAATTTATAAGTGTTGAAAATAAACAATGATGCTGATTTAAAATAAATAATACCATAATACTTGATGCCTTATTATCAGTCTTTAATTTCCCATATGGACCTGTAAGTTACTAGCAAATTTAAGAATTTGAACACAGCATATTATCATTGTGTATTTCTCCCATGTTTACAAGCACTGACAGAAATGTGTACTTACAACATGTGTGTAAAAAAGAAGAACATCTTCCTCCTGGTGCATTCCCTGGTAACATCTGTTTTCAGTGTCTGCCTCCCACGAGATAAGTTCATTAATTTCCAGGAAGCAGATGGCCACCACGTCTGTTTCATACAGAACGTATTGGTTTTTTTCTGTGCAAGACTTGAAGATTTTAAAAATCCTGCTTAGGAAGGCATACATTTTAATCAATGTAAGGGTGGATATTTAAATGTATGCATTGCATCCAAGAAGAAACTGATTTTCTTTTGTGATTTGGTCATGCATTTAATCGAAGTACTCTCTTGTACATTATCACACAAGTGTGGGAGAGGAAATGGAGAAAGTTGATTTTCCAGCTGGAGAAAGTGTCTTTGTGTTTCTGGACATGACACATTTCACAAATTGAGACAGCATCCCTTTTTTCCTTTTTACAGAAGAGGTAGAGAACTCATCAATCACTGCAATTACCTGATCATTATTATGTACATGTGTATTACAAATGTTGATCACTTTATGTGCAATTTTGTTTTAAAAGCTGGGCAAACATGAAACACTTAAGTTACACTTTATGATGTTTTTTTTCTTCTTAAATAGATGCTGTTGACTGCAAACTTGCTGGCACTTATCTTCATCTGGACAGGTAATGAAAGAATAAAAGAGAATTTTACTATAGCCAGCATGCTTGCAAAAGGTCAGTAAATATATGCATAAGAAGAGAAATCCTCAAGTAGTTTTGAATAAGCATTATCATCATGATATGATATAAAATGTAATATTTCTAATGTGCCATTCAACAAAATTAAACAAAATTTGACCTGAAAATCTATGCTCGCAATGCTGGGTAGTTTTCAATTTGACCCATTAGATTCAAATCAAATAACTGTTATTTGCTTATTAGTTATCAAAAGCAGGAATATACTGTAAAAATACACAACTAAATTCTAAGTGTAACCAGCTTAGACTCAACAGTAACAGGGCTGTGATACGGTTTCTGCAGGTTGACTTAAAGACACGAAATAGAAGGTTATTTTCCAGGTATTTCAGTGTGGATACAGTCTATACTAAAATACATGGAAACCACATTTTCCATCTTAGCTTTCTAGTGTAGAATTTGGCAACCTAGCACGCACTAAACAACTATATCTGTGTCTATGTTTCCATCTGTTTGTTTTGAGTTGTAGGAGAATTTGTACCGTTGTTCTGTGTATTTTATCTTTTCTCCAGGAATGGCAGCTACATCTGTTGTTCCACCATGTGACCATCACATGTTTGATAGTGGTGTTCAAAACTGCTTGTCAGACTTCAACAAGAGCATGGAGACAACTGGCTATCAACACATGTGCCCATGGCCTACTGTGAAACGGTACATAATGTTTATTTTTTAAAGGTCCCATGTCATGGCCATTTCCACTGATCATAATTCCATTGTTGAGGTATACTAAAATAGATTTATACTGTGCAATTTTCCAAACTCACATTGGTTTCGCATACAGCATCTCTGTATGTGTATTCACCGGTATTCGCTCTCTGTCCTAAACGGCTCGTTGGAGCTCTTGCCCCTCCTCCCTGTGAGCCCAGTGTTCTCCGATTGGTCAGCTCGGCCACTCTGTTCTGATTAGTCAACCACCAGAGAGGCTCCGCCATGTCTAACTGTGCTTTTTTCGGCTCGCTCTGAGCGGAACATCAGTCTTACAATGGCGTCAGTATAGCCGTATATGTTATACGCTAACTAACCGAACTGTACCTACAACTGTTGTTATAGAAGAGTAAGTTATTTTTACCTGTAATAAACTACTAATGTTTGATGAAAAATTAAATCATGGTTTGCTATATGTTAATGATATGTTATAAGAGCAGGGAAGAAAGGCTACTAAGTATTTCCATCAAACTTTATTTTTAGAAATGTACAAAATGAACATGTGTAAATATACATATATACACTGTATATCATCCATTCCTCCCCTTATAGGCGTTTTCGGCATATTGCCTATCGCAGCTTTGTAAGCTGCTGCCGGGGCTTTTTAGGACGAGGCATCAGAGTGGTCATTCCGTCATGTGTTGTCCGCCAGATACGCCAGGAGTTTCCTGGTCTGGCTGGACAAAATCAAATGCAAATCACAAAATATTAGAGAAACTTAGTTGTTTTAGATTCGTTAGTAGTAGTTGTGGTAGGAGTGCGTATCTATCTAATCAACACAGTTAGCGTGCCAGCTAATATGCTAACCTACGTTTGCTAGTTGTTCAGTGTAATATGCCAACCTACTATGAACAACAGTTAGTCTAGGCTAGCAAGAACATGTTTACAATTGCAATCTTATACGGGTAGTCTGCTACGTTCGATCATTCATTGTAGCTGGCATGAAAACAATGTTTTCCCTAGCATGTCTAGTGTCTAGCTCTAGGTAGCCTTGTTGTTTAGCTCGGTAGCATACACGCTATGAACGGTAGCTCGGTAGCATACAAGCTAGGAACGCCAACTATAATGTACTGACCGTACGGTAAATCACCCGGAGTATACTGTCTATGAGTATTTTGTGTGTGAATGCAGACATTCTCCTGCTATGAGAAACATGTAAGGCCATCTGCTGACATTGTAGTTGATATATGGAAACGCTAGCTACTTCGTTAGCCCAGTTAGCACTGTGTCAATGGCTTAGCAGCCCAAAAAACGTTTACCCATTTACAACTGGGCTAACGAAGTAGCTAGCGTTTCCATATATCAACTACAATGTCAGNATGGTTTTTACAAACCGGTATCAGTATGTTGTTACTTCGGCATCATTTTGAAACGTGTATTACAATTAAATCACGGTAAAATATGTTCATTGTGTTGTAGTTGTAGCCACTCACGTCAGTTTAGCATATTCAGCCCAGTTGTTGGCCCGCAAAGAACCACAATTTTGGAGGGCCAGAAAAACTGTGAACGAGTACCCGTTAGCCGGCAATACCCCTCGTGGAAACGCAACAAAAAACGGGCCGGGTTTGGCACGGCACTCTTAAACCGTGCTACGCGCTGCAGTGGAAATGCGCCATAAGTTGGTTGTGAACGTACATGTTATTGTTTTTCCCCGGCAAAATTAGCATCCAATTCATTCAAAGATTTAAAGGTGTTATAGTCTTATGCACAATAGCTACTAGAGGGTAGTTTTGGCATTAAACATGTTAAGTTCCTTGCATCTCCAACAATGCAACATAAATGTATGTAAGACTGACTGGTGGTACAATTAAATATACAATAATTTAAATGTAATTGTGAAAAAATGTCTATAGAAAATAAAATGTTTTATTTAAATAATTTAATTGTGATGATTTAAATGTATTATAATAACAATTAATATCACAGGTGATGTGAACTTTTGAGGCCCCTTGCTAACCACTCTTCTGGCTAGCGCTAGCGTTAGCTGGTAACTTAGTTAGCCGGGCCTCGCTCCTCCACACCTCACCTCTCTTGTCTATCCACCTCTCTTGTATATCAAAAATTCCATACTCAAGCGTCCTTGAAAAAGCTTTTTTTTTTTAATACCCGGTCTGATATGATACTTATATATAATTAATTCCACAACTTACTTTATGCATATACTGGAGATGCATTTTAAAATTATAAATGTTCTGTTCAAGTACCCTGCATTTGTTAAATGATGACTTAAAGGTCCCATGTCATACTTTTCCGGTTATTACCCGTCCCCTTGTGTGTTATGAAGGTTTTTATGCATGTAAACGGTCTGCAGAGTCAAAAACCCTCAAAGTACACCCTGTAGCGAGTAAAACTCTAACGGCCCTCCACACAGCGGCGTGTGCGTTGAAAGCTTCATCATTCACTTTGAATGGGGTTACGTCACTTTTTGCCGAACTGCATTGTGGGAAGCGAAGCGGAGCTTTGCTGGCGTGGCTCGCTGCAAAAGTTGAGCAATGTTCAACTTTTGAAGCCTCGGCAGAAGCGTCAGCCAATCGAATGATATGCCAGTACAAGCTCTAGCCAATCAAACCGCTGCTTGTGTGTCAGGGGCGGGAGATTCATGTGATTGGTTGTTGGTCGAGTTTCAGACACGCCGACAAGCTTTAACGCACGC